ATTGTGGGTGTTCATTACCTAGCCCTGAGCCCTGAAGGCCATGCAGGTGTGCCTGGGTCCTGTGCCCACATGTGCTGAGCCAGCGCCAGGACCTGCAAGGCATGGCTGCGGTGCTGGACACCCTGGGGCATGGGGTGTGCCAGACACGCCCATGATCTGAGGAGCTTGGGGCTTCTGGGGAAGCAGCACTGGATCTGGGGTGCACCAGGGCCCAGGACCACAGCTGCCCCTGAAGGGCCTGAGGCTTCTCTTCCTTCTTTGAAGTGCCTTTGGAGAACATATATTCAAATGTCAAATTGCCAGTTGAAAGGAGAACATATTTTATTTGGATTGGATGAAATTTGAACCAGAAGTCATGTTGCTTAATAAAAATGTGTGGTTTTGATTCCCCGTTCCTCCTTGTCTGCTGGAGAATTTGAAACATGGCCAGGAGCCTCTGACATCCAAAGATGGGAGAGGGAGGGAGAGAGAGAGAGAGGAAGGAAGAGGCAGAGGGCGGGGAGAGGGAGTTGGGGCAGGTGGGCATCTCTGCCGGCTCAGGGGGTGGAGAGTGGGGCATCCGTTCAGTGTTGGCATCGGGGAGGGAGGGTGTAAATGCTGAGGGCTGTGCTCACCAGGGCCCACTCTTGCTTCCTCCTCCAAGTGCCCCCAGTTTACTGTGGTGGGGTCTGAGGGGCAGGGGGGCAGCAGCAGGTAGCTGTCTTCAGTCACTCCCCATTCTCTGTCCCTTCATGAGCCACAGCCCCAGAGGTGAAGTCTGGAAGGCCAGGAACCTGTCACCCAGCGCCCTCCTCAGCCTGGTAGATGCCCCGCCCGGGTACGGGTGCAAGCTCAGCTCCCTATGACCGCCAACCCCCAGCTGCTTCCTGCTCCACTGTCCTGAGGCATCCCACAGAGGGGGGACCCGGGTTGGAGGGTGCTCAGCAGTGCTGTCCATGATGTGGATGACGCCGGGGCTACAGTCCCTGAACTTCAGATGAGGCAGCAGGTGCGTGGCGGCCAGGGGCGCCCCATGCTCTGGGGCTGCCGCCTGCGGGAAGAGCACCTGTCTCTGTCTGCACCGCTCCCTCTGTTCTGAGATGTGGGGACAGAGGAGGCAGGGCCGGGTCAGCTGGTGTCAGGGGCCCCACTGCACGCATAGGCTCCAGTTCCTGGCTGCTGATGCATCTGTGGTCCTGCAGTTGGGGCCAGTGACCTCTCCTGTCCCAGCCCCTTCTTTTTATCTGTTAAATGGAGATGACAGAAGTTTCCCTTGTGAGTCCCGTAAGTGAACAGGCGTTGATGGGCACTGAGGCACCTGGCAGACCTCAGAACCCGCTGGCTGCACCCTTCTGGATGGGGCAAGGCAGGGACAGGTGGGCAGAAGGGCTATGGCCGGGCTGCGGCACAGCACAGCGGTGCCGAGAAAGGGGGTTCCCAGAGGCAGGTGTGGACGTGGAGGTGCGGCTGAAGTCAGCGGCAGGAACTTCCCGCCTGGCAGAGCTGCCTGGAGAGCTGGGTTGGCTTGGGGCGGGCTCTGAGCTCCCTGCTCATTGTCTGAGGTTTTTAAACACAAGTTGGGGTCACCCACAGTAACCACATATGCACACCCCCCTTGCCCTCCCCTCGGCCCCTGCCCATGCACCGCTCCCTTCCCTCTTTTGGAGAGCTGCCATGGCCTCTTCCCTGCCACCCTCAGGCGCCTGCTGCTGGGCCCCCACCCTGCGTCCTGCACAAGCCCTCTGCTGACCCTCAGCTCCTCCAATCCTGCCGCCCTTCCGGGCTTTTCCCGAGCACTCACCTTACCCCACGAACCTCAAAACCTTTTGCAGTACTTACTGAGCACCTTCTGTATACAAGGAATTTTGCCTAGAGGACTCCACAGCTTTGTGAGGAGGATGCTGCTGTTTTATGCTTATTTTTTCAGAGCGAAAAGAGGGCGTAGAGAGGTGTGTGTGAGCAGGCTCACTCCCAGCCACACAGCCAGGCAGCGGCAGAGGTGGCGTGCGGGCCTGGCCGCCTGGCAGCACACAGCATGCTGCTTCCCCGAGCATGCCTGCGGGCTGGGGTTCCCTCCGCCCTGCACGTGTGTGCGGCGGTGCTGGTCCTGTCACCCTCCTTCCAAGTCTCAGTGTCTTGCTCTGGCCAGTCCCTCCCATCAAGGGTCTCCGTCGAAGAGAGCAGTGCTTGGAACAGTGACAGTGGGTGCACAGAGCTCACAGCTGTGAATGTCCCCCAGCCCCTCCCAGCACCCTGGCACCCTGGACCCAAGGGTGACTTGTCGGGATCAGAAGTTCACAGCACAAAGCCATGTCACAGCCGCCGAGGCTGCAGGCCAGCGGCGTCTTCATGGCAGAGGCAAAGCTGTCATTAGACTCCTCCTGGCCCAGAGTGGGGCCTCGGTGAGGGCAGGTGGTGCCTCTGCCTGGGTGGGGTGAAGTTTCGGATGAACCGTGGAAAGCTTGCCACTCTCCAGGTGGGGTTGGGCACCCTGACCCTGCAGCCCCGTGGCTGAGGGCCTCACAGCAGACTCAGGGCCTGTCCTTAACTGTGGCTGTGGAAAAGTGTGCAGACGTGATGCAAGGTGGCGAGATGGGCCCCGGACCCCACCCACTCAGCGCTGGGCACTGTCCCCAGTCCCCTTGCCTGCAGGCGCCGTCTCCACGGACCGGATTCCAACATCTGGACTTTCCTTCCATGTTCTTTTCCCTCCCTTGA